GGGTTGACGAGTTATCGCAGGTTTTGCCGAATGGGCGGGGTCCCGGACTATGGGAGAAGCATGGTGAGATCAGGATTGTACTGCATAATACATAATACAATACAATATCGGGGCTCTCCTCAACTCTTGCTAGTCCGTCAAGGACAAGCCTCCGACCGTTACATACACCAGGGATCAACATCAACGGTACACGATAGAAACTCTCTGAACTCGAGAGGCACATACGCACATACATACGCACACACACACACACACACAAAACAAGACAAAAAAAAGTCAGGACGAAAAGAAGAAAAAGAAAAGAAAAAAGATAAACCGAGTAGCAATCATGACGACCCAGACCCAGACCAAGAACCGGGCGCTGGCAATCGTCGACGACGCGGCTGCTGGGGGCTACGGGATAGCAGCGCTGTGCTGCTACAACATCGAGGGCATCATCGCGACGGTGCGGGCGGGCGAGGCCAAGAGGGCGCCGGTCATCATCCAGCTCTTCCCGTGGGCCATCGAGTACGCGGACGGTCTGCTGGTGCACGCGGCGCGGGAGGCGGCCGACAAGGCCTCGGTCCCGGTGGCGGTGCACATGGACCACGCGCAGTCGCCCGAGGTGATCCGGCGGGCGGCCGAGCTGGGCGGGTTCGACGGCATCATGGTGGACATGAGCCACTACGAGAAGGAGGAGAACATGTCCCGGACGAGGGAGCTGGTGGCCTACCTGCACGGCAGGGGCATCATCGCCGAGGCCGAGCCGGGCCGCATCAACGGCGGGGAGGACGGCGTCGAGGACACGGGCGACCTCGAGGGCATCCTCACCACGCCCGAGCAGGCCGGCGACTTCCTCGACCTCGGCATCGACTGGCTGGCACCGGCCTTTGGCAACGTCCACGGCCGCTACGGTCCCGGCGGTCCCCGCCTCGACTTCGCCCGCCTCGGGCGCGTCCACGACGTCACGTCCCGGCGAGGCGTCCAGCTCGTCCTGCACGGCGCAAACGACTTTGGCGAGTCCCACTTCCGGGAGTGCGTCGCCCACGGCATGGCCAAGGCAAACATCAACGACGCCTTCAACTCCCAGTTCACCAGCACCATGAGGGACCGCGCCGGCAAGGTACCCCTCACCACCCTGCTCGAGGAGGCCACGACGGCCATGCAGAAGGTCATCGAGACGCACATTGACTGGCTGGGGTCTACCGGCAAGGCACCCTTGATAGCATCTAAATGAAAGTTTTTATTTATTTTTATTTTCTTGAAATAGAAGAAGAAACTCGTGTAGGCGAGCGTAGCGAARAAAAAAAAAAAAAAAAGAGGTCTCCGTACAAGGGTGTGTCCCCTCCTCGGACAGGGTCCCGCGAAAGAGGAAGAAGAAGAAGAAGAAGAAGAAGAAAGCAGAGAGAGAGAGAGAGGGCTTTTAGAACGATTGATTCTCTGTAGTCTCCCCATGGCTTGTCTACTCTGTTCCAAATCTACAATGTGAAGAGCACCTAATTGGCCAGAGTAGCCTTGAAATCCTGGACAATCGTGTCAAACGAGTCGTCCCTTCTGAAGCCGAGAGAAAAGGCCCGGCTGTTGTCGTAGGTGGCCGGCCACGAGTACAGGATGGCCTTGGTGACGGGGTCCTCCTCCTCCCTGATGAGGGCGAGCTTGTCCTCGCCGGCGACGCGGGCGAGCGAGTCGCGCATCTCCTGGACCGAGACGCCGATGCCGGGGAGGAGCACGACGCGGTCGTGGTCGGGCAGGGCGTCGCGGGGCAGGGTCAGGGCGTGGACGAGGTTGAGCACGAGCGTGCGCGGCGAGCAGATCCAGTGGGCGAAGGAGCGGTCCTCGACGGGGACGACGCACTCGAGGCCCTGCATGGGCTCGCGGATCATGCCCGACAGGAAGGACGACGCCGCCGCCGTGGGCTTGCCCGGCCGGACCGACACGGTCGGAAGCCGGAACACCAGGGCCGACACGAAGCCGCGACGGTGGTACTCGTTTATCAGGTACTCGCACATCATCTTCTCGCAACCGTACGACGTCTGCGGCGTCGCCCTCACGCCCTCGTCCACCGGCTCCGTCACATCGCCGCCATACACGGCCTGGCTGGACGTGTACAGGACCTTGACGCCTGGCCGCGTCTGCCGGAGTCTGTCGAGCAGGATGCGCGTCGCGTCAAAGTTGACCTTGAAGCCTGTGATGATGGTGGAGAATTCCTGTCAGTCGGCGCTCTTCTTCTCTCGTTCTTTTCTCTCTTCTTTTTCCTTCTCCCTCTTCTCTTCTCTTCTCTCTCTCGATCTGTCTCTCTCTCGCTTTGTTTCGTCTCTTCTTCTTCTTCTCTCTCTCCGTTCCCCGTATGATATCAAGGCAAGGAATGGAATCAAGAGAGTGACTGACCTAGATCAAAGTTGGCTTCAGCGCCAGATGACATGATACCGTGAAACATGTAGACGGCATCGAGGTCCGGGTCGACAACTCGGTCACTCTCCTCGAGCAAGTCGGCCTTGATGGCCGTTGCCTTGCCGGGGTGCTTGACTCCCGATGGGATAGGAGGCTCTACGATATCTGTCAGGGTGACGGTGTACTTGCCCGAGCCGTCGTTGAGCAGCGCGGCGGCCAGATGTTGGCCCACGAGGCCGGCGGCACCGGTGATGAGGATCTTCATGCTTGTCGTCTTGGTCTTGCTCTCTGCTTCTGGCTTCGACAGTCCTTGGCTCCATGCAGTCTCACGGGGTTCACGGGCAGCAGGAGGAGACAGGTGTGTGCGTAGGACATCCTCCCGTCACTCACAAGGGGAAGATGATTCCAGCGTCGGACAGACATGTACTTACCTGCACCTGCACATACACGTATCGTCTCTCTCAGCCACCATGGCACGGATCCACGACGATCAAGTCCGAAGCGATTGAGCAGTCTTGGCGTGGGGTAGCCGGACATAGGACCGAAATGCGGGGATCGGCGGTTTCGCCGATATTATTACTTGCCATGTTGAGGTAAGTTGTCGGCATCGAGAGCACCACAGCATCTGACCGAGAGCGGAGAAGCTGCATCAGTACAGATAGTGCACCGGCGAGACATTGGAATACACGGAAACATGTGCAGTGAGATGGAACCTTTTCACAAGAGCCCTTCCTCTCTCTCCTTCTCTGCTCCTCGGCGTCTTCGACCGTTGGTAGCATGGCCGGTGGTAGAGTAGAGGAGTTTTGCGGAGTAGATACATGTCTATACATATATACATATATACATATACATGTATACATATGCATACATACACGCGTCCCATGCCGCCATCAAGTTGACAGTCGCCCCCCTCCAACCGTTCCCACAACGGTCCTCTCCCCCTCACCATGTAGTCCAATAGGAGGAATACGAGAAAGAAGCAGACCAATCGCATGCCCGTAGCACGGGTTGAGAGAGGAGAAAAAACGGCTGCAAACAGCCGTCGAAAGCTAGAGTCAAGCCGTGTTCCGTGCCATTCGAATGTATACGGTAATTATTAATATCGGTGCTGCTTCTCCACAGCCAGCAGCATCTCATGACCCACCTCCACCAGCTTATCCGAGTTGGAGAACAGAGAGAGAGCTCTATAGAGAGAGAGAGTGTGTGTGTGTGAGAGAGAGAGAGAAAGAGAGAAAGAGAGAAAGAGAGAAAGAGAGA